GGGGGGGGTGATTACTGTTTATAAAACGTGTCTTTTTCTCAAGAGACATGTTTGAAAGCAACAGCTCTACATTTCCAAATAAGAGACATAAGACTTTATAGTCTTGAAATTATACTCACTCTGAAGTCAGAAGGGGAGAGAACATTTTATTGTTTAAAAATTTAATCTTCTCCACTTAAGACAACCCCCTCCACTCTTACAGCACTCAGTAATGGTAAACGTTCACTGAATGCTAATGTTTATTTTATTATTAACTACTACATAGTGTTCTTTATGGGGATTACGGTATGGGTATGTAATTTTAAGAGACTAGCTACTTGTTAAATTCCCACTAGGAACACACACACACACACACACACACACACACACACACCACTGACAGATCAACAGAGAAAAACACCAGCAAAAGAAAGATAATTTGAGATACTTCTGAGGTAGCAGTTGTAAAATTAAAATAGGCAACTCATTAAATTATCCATAGAGTGAAAAGAAAGCTACAAAAATAGATATTTTTCTGGCAAGTCAGTGCTGTTCTGAACAAATTTAGTTTTCAGTGGAGTTTTTATATCAGATGATATCAGTTCATATTCGTTAGAATCACTTGCACAGTTAGACACGTTTGTTCTAATTAAAAGCAAAAATTACGTAGAATGTTTTTAGTAAGAAAACCAACTCTTCTGTAATACATCAATTAAACGGACAGTTTGTAAGAAATATGAACAAATGGATGCTTTGTGAGCAATTTGGAGCATGGTCTCAAGATCACAGAAAAAAAAAAAAACAAAAAGAAAAATACCTTCTGTAAGTCACACTTTAGTTTGAACTGCCCCAATGCAACTTGCTGACTTTTGTGGCTGCTTTTCTGTTTTGTGGTCACCCAGTATCTTGTATTCTTTATCTGATTGCTGGTGTTGATACATTGTTTCTTATTAAAGTTTCCCCTAGAGGACAGGCCAGGAAAAGGAAAGTCGCTAAATTCGCCAGCTTTTCTTATTAAGAATTTAAAGACTTGGTAGGGAAAGTGCAAATGAAAGCAGCAGCTAACACAGGCTGATCCCACATCTTTTCAAAGCTTCTCTCTTATTTACACTGATAGATACCTGACAATATTTAGCAAGCCAATTAAGTACTTGCTTTTAGAAAGCTCCCTTTGCTGCCACGACCATACAGATGAGATAGTCTTCTTAATTAGCAAGGACTCTGGTTCAATCAAGTACAAACTCTGCATGCACAGAGATGTCACCCATTTCTGGAGTAGCAATTTGCAAAGCCTACTCAGACATTTTTTTTCATGTCCTCTAAAATTTGCTGTGTTGTGGGTCTTACTATCAATGATACTGGAAGAGACACTGGCAAGATATATGCATTTTCATGTGATTCAGTACTTATATATCTCACTGAAGGAGTCAGACCAAGGCAAAAATCTCACCTACAGAAATGTTAATATGCAAAACCAGGGGCTACAGAAGTAGGCTAGATTACTATTAAAATTATAAGGTTAAAAATCTCCCTCTCTTTCTCCCCATCTCTTCCTCCCTCCTTCTCCACTTTAATCTTCTGACTCCTAAAAGGTCAGTTGAAATTATTTGCTTTTATATTAAAGCTATCTATGTTAATATATAAAAATAGTGAAATTCAGGGGCACGGTTCTTAAAGTGATAGTCGAAACCATCTCTCCTTATAAGAGATGCTTGGGTGTAAGAGGATGACATGACACTTTTGAGGCTTATTTAAGTTGTTAAAAAATGTCGAGGTTAAAATAATTAGACTGGTGAGTATTTTTCCTCCTTGCCGCCTACAGGCATGATACCTACAATTTTCTCGGTTCAACTGTCAGACAAATTGGCAAGTGGACTAAAAACATAATATTCCCTTAACGAAGCGTTCGTCTAAAGCCCTAGCAACTGTATTAGGCAGCTCCAAGTATTCGCAAGCAAGGCATGGCGCGGGAGGGAAACTGCAATTTAGAATGACAGATTATTATTTTTTTTCTATATCCATTAAGCCTCCTCGAAATGTCACAATATTTACACCTTTTCCTTAGTGAATTAGATCCAAAGACAGGCAGACATGAAGAAAAAAGAAGGGAAGAAGGAAAAAAGAAAAAAGACAACTCCAACCGGTTGCCGCTGGGTTGGGGAAAAGCAGGCGTTGCACCTTTAAATTCTGTCCCTTGGTTCCCTGTCCCCGGCCCCCCTTCTCGGGATTTTGCAATAAATCTCCCAGTTCTGCGTTCAGCCCTGCAGATCCGTATTTAAAACAGCACCATCTGGGAAGGGTGGGTGGCGATGGTGATGCGGGCGCCTTGGAGTTCCTTTGCAGCACGCTT